GCGAACAGTTGAAAATTATATCAAGGTTACAAAGATTTTATTTGTATGTATCGCCATCTATTGTTGAAAACGAAGAAAACAATTAGTTTAAATTATGGAAATATTTTAGATTTGTTCACATTATCTTTATGTTTAGTACGCAAAAACTATGAAATTATGTCTTTCTTGAACATTTATTTCCTCTGTAAAGTTACTGTATCTATGAAACTATTTTAATACGTTCCCATCCAGTAACGCATGGGTTAGACTGCACACAACGTAATAAATTACATATGACACAATGTAACTTAACAAAATAGACATATAATAGATACTTACTTTCTATACCTGAAATTCTCTTGACAGTAAGGGGATCTGAAATTTAGTTATGTAGAAAAATAATATTTATAAATTTCCAAAATTTGACTAATGTAAATGAAATAAAAAAATCATAATTTACTGTTTAAACTCTGACTGTTACAATCTATTTCTTTGAGACTCTCTCAACAACCTTAGTTTACAGTATACCATAATAAAATATTTTCGAATTAATTCATCGCTTACTGGATTACATGAATGTCACCTAATTAAAACATAAAACAGTTTTCTTAAAAATGTATCACTCATTCAATCAATATTTATTGTTAAACTGTGAGTGTTAAGGACTCGAGTATCTACCAGTAGAAACGGCATGTAATCCTGAAATTCTCTTGACAGTAAAAGGATCTGAAATATAATTATATATAAAAATAGTCTTCACAAATTTCTAAAATTTTAGTAATGTAACCGAAATTAGAATATTATAATTTATTATTGAAGTATGTCTGTTACAATCTTTTTCTTGGACATTATAATGGTTCTGTTATCAGCAATTTCGAAAGAAATACGAGAAAAGACGGCCAGACAAATTTTATCAGGTACACCCACACACAAAAATATGCGTTTAAGGTCAACAACTTATACCATAAAAATAATAATAACTTTATTATTACTGTGTTGATACGTGATCACTAGAACTCGTGCAATAGAATGTTGAGATTGCACTTTTTATAAATAGTAAATGAATGTTACAGAATGTACTGAAATATAAAATATATTTGAGGTTATTGTAAAACAGGACTACGAAAAAGACAGTATTGAATAAATGTCATCAAATTTAGCTTTATCACAATTCTATAAAAGATAAAACTAACCAAAGATTTTCATTGGGGGGAAATGTTTTCCCTTTGTCGCTAATATACTTGTTGAATACTGAGTGTGTTATTATTGTAACAACAGATTTAAAATGTAACTCACCTACATAGTTTCTAAATTGATAGAAAGCTTCAAACCCTGTTCCATCAAATTTGCTGTTGGACTTAAACGCGACGCGAAAAAAGTCTCCATCTGATTCGATGATTTTAGGTTTCTTCCCTCCACAATATCTAGGAATTTTTCTATCCACAGTACGAAAGTTGGAAAATTCGACGAAGTCGCTGGCCAAGTCAGTCGTACACCTACGCCCATTACAATTGTTTTACAATATTATTTGTTACAGTTGTTTCTACATTGTTTTAATATTACAGTTATTTCTACATTATTATTTGTCATAGTTGTTTCTCCATTTAATGTTGCATACAACTGTTTCTTTACATATATTTAATAACTTCGCGCAGAGATATTCGAGAGCTATCTGCGCTAGCCGTCCCTAATTTAGCAGCAATAGACTAGAAGGAAGGTAGCTCGTCAACACCACCCACCGCCAACACTGGAGTTACCTTTTATCAACGAATAGTGGGATTGAGTGTAACATTATAATCCCCCACTACTAAAAATGGCGAAAATGTTCGGTGACGGGGATTCACACTCGTGACCCGTAAATTGTGAGTTGAGCGCCCTAACCACCAGGCCATGTCAGGTCATGCCAGACCAACTGTTATCTGTCAGGATTTTTCTCATCACTTCTGTAATTCACATTCATTCATTTTTTCCTTTCTTCTTTTTTAAATATTTGTATGACAACGGCACACTTTGCTTTGAATATTATTATTGCTTTCAAGCACTAAAACTTCACAATGAGCTATCTGTACCGTGGTAGTTGTAGTGATCAAACCGCATTTTTTACCGTTATAAGCCTTCAGACGTGCCGCTGAGCCACTGGGGGGGGGGGTGTGTATGTGTAAACGCCTCATTCAGTAAACATACACAAACATAATTCTACAACCAGTTTATAAGTAAAGAGATCACCTTCAATATTGGAAATCCTTACACTAAAAATACAGTTCGCCTACCTATAGAATTTATTTACGCAAAATATCAGAAAATTCTAATATTTAAAACATATTTTAAGATTTTTGTTAATTTTTGTTTAACACAACTTACGGTGATACGCCCTCTACATCGAAATAAGCAAACATCAAAGTGAGGCGTTCGCTCTTTCGACCATAGAAAAAGTAATGACATTCAGTAGCTCGAGGATAAAGACCAGGGTAGTTTGGAGAAGTGAATGTACCATTTGTTCTCTTAGTGCTGTTAAAGATGAATCCACACACTGAAAAACAAATTATGAAGCTATTTCTGTTTTAGTGTACCCCAAAGATATGTTGATGTTTAGAAACACAATATATTTGCGAGATAATTAATTTTCCTTTTATAATACTCAAAGAAAAATATCTAACTCAATTCACAAAGAAAAATACGCTTTTATATGCAAACAAAAACGTTAAAAAATAAACTTCCGAGATTAAACGAACATATTTGACGTTTATTTAAGTCAAATCCTTGGAACTACAAATCATTTAAAATTAATTCTTACACACGTCTACTTACTGTTGTTTACGGCGAAAATTATTATATAACAATGAGTATTTAACTATTGTAGTTGAACAGATTAAATGATGTAACGTTACAGTAATACTATAAATATTAGATTGAACAACTAAAATGAAGTTATTAATTGACTTTGTAAAACCAGGTCGCCATGAAAGTGTTAATTAGAAAAAACTGTTTTATATTTATAGCTTTAGAATTTTAACAAAGCATTGCTGAAGTAAATTAGAATGACTAACTTTATTTTCATAAACCGTATGTTAATTTATAAGTAAAAGTAAAATGTTGAATACCTTGTTGAGGATCTTGTTCTCCTGCAGTGATTCCAAAGTCTTGAAATAAAATAAGAATGAATAAGAAAACACCTAATCACTTACTATGATTAAATTTTCTCGTGCTCAAACAGGTCGCCATGATTTGTTTGTCTTCATGTAACAAGTTTGCAAAAAAAAAAACAATCATTGGATAATTTTGTAAACACATTCTTTACACATATTATACTTTTGTGGCATAAAGTTATATAATAAAAATATCCCACGAATATCGACATTTATCATTATAGGTCATCGTATATGATTGGTATAAATACAGTTGTTAACAGCTCTAAGTACCTAAGTATAAATACCTCAAGATCTAAAATATCATAATTATAAGTGAAATAATCTAGTAGCCTCTATATTAAGCAAATTTTATAAATTGCTACAAACTTTATAGAAAAATTAATAAATGTATATGTTTCAATAGAAAGTTGGAACTTTTATGGACTGTTAAATTGAGTACGTGACGTTTCGAGCTGTAACTTGTGTAAGTGAAAATCTTCGTGAGGCCTCCAAATACGGTAGCATTTCGAAACGCCGCATATTCATTGTAGCAAGTTTCCCATCTAGGCTTTAAAAGAATATTAACCTTTTAGAGTATCATAAAGTTTGTTCTGAAATCAAACGTTGTAAAATATATAGTGACGTATTGAAATTATCTCATAAAGTAGAAAATGAAATAAAATGAAAAAGGCATTAGATAATCTGAAATTATTTTTCTTTTATAACATTTCGCCCAAATACGCTCTCCCTTTACAACATACACGTATCATGTATATAAGTAATATTACATGCAGGTGACTTTATTTTTAAAAATAATTCACCGCAAATCAATACTTACTGGTGACAAATCGGTAAATAGCACGAAAACCCCTTAGATTTGACGGAGTCTGATAACTCTTGAATTCCACTGACATTGATGGTCCGTTCGACATCAGTTGAGGGGGGAGAACATTACCACAGAAGTTGTTCAACCTTTCTTTTTGCCCATTGATAGTAATAAATACCATGACTGCATCAACTGGACCTGCACAGCTGTAGGAGACAAGAAACAAAGCTTTGCTTGCTTACATTTTTCTTGGGAAATATATTAATTTTATATGTACGTATATAGTCTGTGAAATAGTAATTATCTGTCTATCTACATGTTGATAACTTTTGAACTATTTATTTACGACAAAGAAATGAAAGAAAGCCAGATATAAGACGATTTTATTTATCAGATAAACGCTCAGATATACAAAATTTCACAATTTCTAAATATATATATACATAAAAGATGATAATTATTCATCTTAATTACTAGTATATAATCCACTTGCTACTTGTTTGATAATTTTCAGCAATATTTTTTGATCACTATGTTAACACGTCTTAGAGTGGTTATTGGGGCACTTGGCAGCCAGGCCGCCAGAGAGCGACACAAGTATGCCGACCTCATGCAATGGGTTAGACACGATGACGTCAAAGTTTCTATAGGCAGATGACGTTACTAATATCGGTGTTATTATATATCTTATATGTAGCAATAGAACGGGTTGAGGTCGTTGACAGACATATGACAATGGTCAGTTCTGAGTTGACCAAATGTATTATAATACATTGTCGCTATTTATGTATTTACAATATACTTAATATTGAAAAACAAAACTCTATATAATTAAATCTCGAGGGTCTTGCACTTTACATAATGATACAGAAAGCTAAATGGGCATTTATAAAATTCTCAATATTTGACGGACACTAGGAAATTATTTTCTGTTTCTAAGTTGCTACTTTCTGGTTTTGATCTAAAACTCGCATATTTGTCATTTAAAACTACCATTGTTTACAAATGTTTACATAGTCTAACTTGTTCAAGGTATAATTGGTTAAATAAAATAGAGTTTTAGTTTTTATATCTTAATCATCAATAAAATTGTTATAAGAATTACGAAAATTTAGTAAAGTTCACTGTAGTTTACAGCTCAAATTAAGTTACAATTATTTATGTTCTTATATTAAAGAATAAATGGTGTCTAAAGTAGTTTTGTGATCATCGATAAAAAAAACATTCTTTGGATGGTAAATAGGTATATAACATGGAACATATTGTCACTGCAGTGTTATTTCTGTCAATGAAAGAAAAACAAATTAGGACAGCCTGGAGGTCTCATGCAGAGACTGTACAGGTAAAATTATGGACAAACACTGAGATAATCGCAGTTTCCCCTCGTACAGACTTCCAAAAAAAAACTTATGTTCAATTTAAACTAAATGACTTTCTTGAGTTACGAGAACATTCTAATGCACAACAATAAGTCTATCAGTGAAACGTTTTGCCAGCACCTGAGCTCACTGTGTCAGCTGGAAATGCCACATCTAAAGTTAAATACCTTAATAAATGATGTCATGTTAATGACTGATAGACACAACCGACACAAAACAGAAAGAAGTAACTTAGAAAAAGAAACTAATTTACCATCAAATATTGAGAATTTCATAAATGAACATTTAACTTTCTGTATAGTTATGTAAAGTTCAAGACTCTAGAGATGCATCTAATCATGTTAATAATCGTCTGACATAGTTCTTATGTGAATTTATGGACCGTATCTTTTATCATGAGATCACAATATTAAAAAACGCCCACTTTAACATTCATGATACTTATTTTCCCAATGATAGAGTGATGTAACAAAGTATTTAACACATTATCTATCTTTTACATACCGTACTGGAGCCACAATCAGTGTTATGTGTTTTATATATCAGATGAAACATATTAGTTTTGTTTTCATTACATAATAGAAAACAGATTGTTTCTCAAATAGCAATCATGTGACTAATGAACTGAGTAGAAAATATACAATAATTGAACACTAACTGTAATGTGCCAGACATGTATGACAGTTAATTTAATCTTGACAATCCAATATTTATAATTCATACATATTTCGGTTTGTGTTATTTGTAAATATCAAATGTTATCGGGCTGTCAACTTGTCAGAGGAATTTACCCCTTGGATAAATTTGAAGAACACAGTTTAAATTGTTAGATGGTAGACAATACTGTTATTTCGTCACATGCATAAATAATTACACTTTCAAGATGTTAGACTATGTATAGATGTTGGTGTTTTATATTTGTAAAGTACACTTAAATGACAAACATATGAGTTCTAGATTGAAAACAGAAAGTAGTAACTTAGTAATAGAAAATAAGTTCCTAATGTACCATCAAACAATAAGAACTTCAGCTTTCTATAACATTATGTAAAGTGCAATAATAGATAAATTTGTTTTACTGTTAAGTTCAGTAACATACAAAATCCATTCTTCATTGTCAGAGTTAAAGTATAGTGAACATATGGCTTGTTTTGATTGTAAAGAATATTCTGTAATTATAAACATTTTACATTAGACATGACGGATTTATACAACTTGAAAGACAATATCTTTTTTTGTAAGAAAGAACAAACTAAAATATTTTGTCAAGATTCTTTTTTATTGTTATCACAGTTATTTTACATATTTTGTTTGTTCTTAAAATCTTCAAAGGTAAGATGCATGCACATTATTTTTGTTATATCTTGGATAATGTCGCCTTTCTCTACAGTATCCCTGAAGGTTCATTTATAGGACCTGATAGATTTAACTGTGTTAGTCTTTGATTAAACAGATATTGAACAATACATTTATTCACTCTTGTCTATGCAGGTATCAAATATAACCATACACATTCACCATGATTTAACATGTTACAAGAATGGCGAGTTTGACTAAGATCATTGATTTCACATGCCTCACACTGTTCTTTTTTCAGCACTTGTAAAATAGGGTACATTTATTCAGCATATACATTAATAAATGAATTAAATCTGATTATTTAATTTCTTTTCATTATGAACTATAGTATTTAAGTAAGTATCAAAATGAGAAATCTGTGCCCATAAATTTTGCCATTCTGAAATTGATAAGACAAAGAAAACCTTATCAGATGTTACATCAATACCGTGATAATCAAATCAATACGTGAACAAAATAGAGGGGATATTATCAATATACACACACGAATTACACGATTCTGTCCTTCTTGAAGAAAATTTTGTTAAGTTTTGCTCTGTACAGCCACACTAATGTTTGAGATCTACTGTTTAAATTCTTTACATTCTGTTGAAGAAAAGGTGATACTTTTATTGGTTGGATATAGTTTTCCTTTTCCAAAGTTCTTTAACTGCCGGATATAGATATTCAAATTATTCTCGTAAGGTGATAGAGTGATGTAATTGTCCTTCCCAATAGGATTGGCATGAGATTAATCAAGTGCTTCTTCACGTTGTATAACAGTAGAAGAACCTAACTGTCATTTTTCCTGTTTTACTGGTTCTTCTTCACTGCTGGATTTGATTTTGTTTTCACCATTTCATTAACATCAGAAGTAATTCTTCTTTTCCAAATAGACGAAAATATAATATAATATAATATATAATTAGTAAAACAAAGTAACGCCGTTTATTAATATAATGAACATGACTGAAAACAAACATTACTGTGTTAATGAAACAAAAATTAGATTTATAAGCAAATAAATATGATATACTTACATTTAAAGGTGGTCTTATATTCTTTCTTCCAAGTAGTAGAACTGCACCAGTCTAATTATTAGTGATGAAAGGGACAGGTTATTTATAATTGAATATGAGCCAGATTTGACTGAACTTTAGACTGTTTGTTTTAGAATTATATTAAATATTAGGATATGTCTGGACTTGTAACCAAGTTTATCAACACTATTCAAAAACAGCTAATTCTGCCACCATTCGAGTACATGCAAACATAAGTCGTTATATTGTATAATAAAATCATAAATCTCATACATTTCACATGTTGATTATTTACTGAATTTAAAATTCAGTGACATACAAAAACTCTTGTTGAAGCATGGTGAAGATTAAATTTATGTAGAAAATATATAATTATAAGTTTAAACCATTTATTTTCAATATTAAGTATATTGTAAATACATAAATAAATAGCGATAATGTATTATAATAGACTTGGTCAACTCAGAACTAACCTTTGTCGTATGCCTGTCAACAACCTCGACCCCTTTTTTTTTGCTATGCAATATTTCGTCTGATATATAGGAACACTGAATATTAGGTGTTACCATAGTTTTGTTTCGCATCTGTTAATTATATTTACCAAGTCTGGAACATCGATAAAAATTATAACTTCAGATAATTAAAATAATAATTAAACTGAATTTTTGACCAACTGTAGTGAAGTACAAGAATTGTTCACTGTCATTTATAAACAATACAAAATATTACGTACTGAGTTGGAATGAACAAATAGTAATATAGACATAATTTGTATGAAAGGTAATCCAATATAATTATAAATTATGATGCTTGTAGTAAAAAGATAAAAAGAAAAGAAAAATAAAATTTGTAAAAGATACAAGTAAAAAAAAAAATTAAAAAAAGGAAGTAAATGTAGGGATGGCTAATATCAAGCCTTCAAAACAATGCAAACAAGATAGTAGGGATGGCATTTGCATCATTTTTATGAAATAGCACAGGCACACCGTGTAGTAGAATGTTAACAGACAAAAGTAGGATAAATTAAACTC